AGTAGGAGTAACAGTTTTAAGTACCGGGAGAATATTTTCTATTAGCATGTAGGACTTGAAAACTACTATTGTACTGGGTTGTTCAGTTTTTTCTTCCTCACAAGGGAGGAAAAGCATGTTTCTCATAACGTATGTACCCCTGTATAACCAACGCCTACTGAAATTTGTACACATTTCTGCCTTTCACACAGGCACACACTGAATCCTGCTTTCTACACAAGGTACTGTTCTAGTTTCAGCTGGGATAATTTTCTTCCTAGTAGCTAGGAGAGTACTGTGCTTTGGATTTAGAACGAGAATAATAAACGCACTGATGTTTTAGTTATTGCTGAGCAGTGCTTACAGCAAGTGAAGAATTTATCTGAGTTGGTACAATTTTGGGGAATACAATATTATAAAATGGGAAATATTAATAAGCTTGTAAGTTATCATGTTCATTTATTTATCCTATTCCATAAAAGCAATTGTGTTTTATTTCCTGAGGCCAGCAATCCTTCTGCAAATAACTTCAACAGCCTGATTAGAAAAAGGAGTTATTCTCAAGTTGGACTTACTAGCATGGTTTATAAACATCTTCAAAACAAGTATTTCCGATTCATCTATACAGCGTGTGAAACAGGGCTTCCACAGCCACATTACACTTTTTGTCCCTTTGCTTAGCTTCCTCACTTCATGAACAATGCAAAAGAAAGGAACACCTTAGGACCAGTAAGTGTGAAAGCTTATTTCAAAGAATATCAATTATGAAAAGGATTAGTTTCCATTCATCTCAGTTTAGAGTACTTCAACACTGACAGATATAAGTAATTCCTGTGCTAATATCATAGGATGATAGAAAAAATAATCTATTTATTTTACCCTGGCTGTACTGAATAGACAAGGACAGGAGTCACTGTTTGCACATGCTCTCATGCTGCTGCACTCCTTTTCATTTCCAAATGTTGTACTTTTTCCATGATCCAGAAGAAAATTCTCTTCAGAAGTAAACAGCAGGAGTGATCAATGTATGAACCAAGAAGATGCTTGCAAAACTTCTCTTTAGATTAAAGCAAGGATAGGCTAAATTTCAAGGCATTTCTTTTTCTCTGTAGCTTAGTAAAGAGGTGATTTAGATGTCTAGCACAGTAATGTGCTAGACTGTGACAGATAAAAGATCAAGAAAGTCTTTTTTTTTGTGGATATTACCAATTATTGTGTGCTAACAAGCTCTTAAAAACCTTCCCAGGAACAGCTTGACTTTTTATAACTCAGAGGCAAGGATCATCATGGCTATAGATGACTTTTAACAAACTTTTTGATATATTGACCTCAAACCTCCAACCACACTGGTTATTACACATTTAGTCTAAAACACATGGGAAGCTTCTAGTGTAAAAGAGTTCAGGTGACCATATCCACTATGTGTAATGAATGAGGGTGATTTTGTGAAGTTGAACAAGGTGATAGGGAAAATAAATCCAAAATCGCAGCAAGTCCTTAAATTTGTTTATAGATCAGACTATTATGATCCTTAACATTAGGAGGATTTTAATCTACAATAATTGTAAGACTTTGAAAAGGCTTTTAGATAACCAGTACTGGCAACTAATGCAAAGGATATGTATAAAAATAATCAAACTGAGGTATATGTGCTCAAGCTCCTCTGAGCAGGAAAGAAAGCCAATCCATTCATCCAGATAGCTATGGAAGCACAGAACAGATAATCCACCACATCACAGAAACAGGCAAGAAGATGAGATAGTAAAAACCCATCAACATACATCATCTGATCATGGTACGGTGTCATCTCCCAGCCTCTATTAGCTCTTGCTGCATCAGGGCAAGTCCCAGACACTTTATCCTGTTTATAATTGCTGATAAGCAGTAATAAGGCTTCCATGCTTCAGCTCCTGTCTGTTCCAGTTCAGTGCCCACCTATTAGGTTATAACTTTTATTTACAGCCTTGCTTGATGTGCTGTTCTATTAGTACAGGTGGAAACTGAGCAGGGGGGGAAAGAAGAAAAAATAAGAGTGCCCCTAATGGGCACTATTATTGCCAGGGCTGGGTGATTTACTGTGCTGCTCGAAGGCTGTTCTATCATTACTTCCTTGTCAGTGAGAGAGCTCGAAGAAGGGTGGATTTCTGACACAGTGCCCTGCAGAAGTCAAATGCTAAAGAACACCTTAAAAGTCCCCTGTAACACCAACGAAAACCAAACCTCAAAGCTGTTTTAATGTTACAAACTTCTTTCACCATTATTTTGTGTATTTTTGGCTAGGAGCTTAACACTTGAAAACAATTAAAAAAAAGTAAAATCTAATTAGTGGTGTACCAGGTTCTTTTGTCCTCTTTCAACACAAAGCCTGATAAAAAAATGATCACACAAAAGTAGCGACTTCTTGGGTTTGGCTTTGGCTGAACTTGTGTATTTCTATTTCCACAACCTGCCCTTTCTGAAACTCCTAAAAGGCTGTCATCTCAATTGTACGGGTTCAGCCTCAAAGCATTCAGATTTATGGCAGTGCTACAATCAAGCACACGCATTAATGCGAGAACATCAATAAACTCAAAACTTCGAAGAGGACCCCACGCCTGCTTAACTGCTTTGCTCAAGCAGTGCAAGAATTATTTGCATCTTCTAGACTCAAATTTTAAACTAGAAAATGATAGAGCAAGGAGACAGATACTGTAATCTTGTACAATATAAATACTACCACACCAATTCAGGACAGATACCCTCATTAAGTGCCAGCCATCTGCACATATAACTATACAAAATATTTAAGATGCACGTTTCTCATGAACTGCTACTGAGAAAGTACTTAAAACCTTACCAACTTTATGGACATAATGTATGAATTGCCTTTATCATTACTGCATTTTATCTGCCCATTTCTACTACCTTCTCTACTGCACATTAAAAAATTAACTGAGCGCACTCACACGGTTCCACTGATTTTTTTTTCCAGATTTCTTTAAGCCACATGAGGATGCTTTAAAACCCGGCTTTGAACTGTGTATTAAATCATCATTAAAGTTGTAGAGCAGAAATAGAAGACTAATATGCCACTTAGTACTGCGCTTTCCTGACATGGGCACCCAATATGAATGGGATCTGGATGCCCGACTGACTAGAGTAAGCCTCACAGTATCTGCTATCAACATTACCTGACCATTAAGAAACAAATCAAAATGCCAAAGAAGCTTGCACTGGCCACACAGCCCCATCTGTTTTTCTGACAAAATCTTCAGACTGCTGGCTCTCAAAAACCTTTGAGGCATCATCCAAGCTAATGATCGCTGGGATTTATTAACTCCTTTCATTACAATCTTTGCCCTATGGGCACACTTTGGAACAGAAATACTTTTTACCACAGCGATGATTCTGGCGAACAGGAGGAGGAAAAACCCCGCTATTTGGTGTCATAATACAATTCTTTATCTGAACATCTCCTCCAGCATGCAAGCTGACAAGTGCATGAGGTAAAAACTCTTTTTTGGTATGAGAACTTTTCTTGTGTCTTGACAGATTTATTGTTCTGATCTTTCTTCAATGGTTACATTAATGCTAATAAAATACAAAAGGTTTATGTCTTCTTAATACCCTCCTGATGGGAACCTGCCTAGATAAGTAGGTCAAATTTCTAATTTTCTGTTTCAAATACTGATATATGGTAGACTTCAGGGGAAAAAAAAAAAAAAAAAGCCATGCTTGAAGAGGGAGGTGGAACTGCACAGATGAATTCCACCCAAACATTCTGCCTTCAAAGCTCTTCCAAGCAGAAGAAATGTAGAATACTTACAGAAAAGAGGCTTATATGTAATGTGTAGTATTGACAACTATTGCTTACACAGCTTCCTAGGAAGGGACACTAAACTGAAGTGAATGTAGTGTGAAAGAACTTGCTGGTTTTGGCTGAATAGTTAATTTTCTTCACAGTAGTTAGTGTGGGGTTATGTTTTATTTGTGGTTAAACCGCAACAAATATTCACCTAAGCAGCCTGGTGCATGTGCCTTAAGATGTCACACCATTTCTGGGCAACATTTTACAGTCAATGTTTTCTTGTCAATTCCCATATATATCCAGATTCCCACATGCAGACTTGGAAAACATGGTAATTTATTTTAAAAACTAAAGTTTGTTGAAAATTCAAACCCTGGAGAAAAAAACCCTAACTCCTGGTACAGGTTTATTAGTGTAACGGACTACAAACAAAATATGCAGATCACTGAGTAAATAATGCAAAAAACATTGGGGGAAATTAAGGTAATTCTTCCCTTCTGCATATTCAACACAGCTCAGTTGTTACATAAATACAGGCAAAATTATTTTGGAAACACAGACTGCTAGATGCCTAGATGCCTGCTACTACCACTCCACAGGAGATTATGGCTTCCTGTAGTGGTGCTGGTGGAAAGGACCATATGAGCTCTCCTTAAATCATGCAAAACCAAGTCTGAAAAATATCTGAGCCAATGTGGGTAACTTGGCTGCCTGCCTGAATGAGAGCTCACATGATTCTTCATCTCCTGCAGAAGCAGTAACTTCAGCCTTACAATGACCAAACGTGTCACTACTAACAGTAGCTCTGTGAGAGATTATCCGTCTATATCCTGTAGAAATAAAGTTACTGAAAGGACCCAAAGCAGGTAAAATTTAGTCTCAATGCAAACATCAGCTGTCTATACTACATCTTCGATCAGTTTTCTACTCAATACTCTGTACTTAAAAGAGGGATTTCCAGACCACAATCGTTAGAGTTAGATCAGACCAATTACTCCTTTATGTCTTATGTTTACAAAATTTAACAGAAATCATGTATTTATGGAATTACGTTTAACAGAACTTTGAGATTAACTATGTGACATACAAATCCTTTTATAGATACATTTCTGACAGCAAAGTGACAATATTCCTATTTCACTTGGCATTCATCAGATATAGTTGACTATTAAACTACAATCATACAGCTACATCTCACACAAAATCTAACTCCTTGACCCCACAAAACACGTACCTGAGTTGCAAGATCTTTTGGTTGGTGTGGTTAACGAGGCATGAGCTGTACTTGTGCATGGCCCACCTGGAATCAGAGAAGATCATATGTCTCAAAATACCACCTACATTTCATATTTACAACCATGTCAAAATTAAACTTAGGAATATCAAACGCTGAGGAGCACTTGTCTTTGAAAAGCACATATGGAAGTAGTCTATTACTCTCAGTATTTCTTTCACAGCCAAGTCCAAATATGTCTGAAAAACTAGATGATAAGTTGGAAAAAAAAGACAAGTTACATTATACTTCATAAATATTTCAAGAGGCAGTTTTAGGAAAATACTGTAAATAGCAATTTTTCCAGCCTTGACAAAGTCACTGTTTCTGTCAGAACAAAGGTAGAAATCCATGTAACTAACAAGTATTGCAAGGGACAAAGCGATCACTTCCCTGATGTCAACAGCAACCTTGTCATTGACTCCAGTGAGATACCGGCTTTGCCTCCTAGCTTATTCTCATTATGTTTTCCAACTGTGGCACAAGAATACGCAAACATTCTGTGTTTAAGTTTTTTTGTTGAACTCTGGACTCTTGCTCACTCCTCTGGTATCTGTTTGCTTTTTGGCTTTTTTCTTAATATGCATCATTGTTGAAGAGTGCTCCAGAGATCTCGTTAAAACAACGACCAATTGAGCGTATTCAGTGACTTGCAGTAAAAAATAAACCCCATATAGTGAAGACAAAACAAATCTCAAGTAGCATTACCAGTGGTAATAACATATTTATAACACATTTGATAATTGGATATTACAAATTGGATGATGCTAGAGAGCCTGAAATTAAGTTAGATCTAGTAGAGTTCGGCTACCGAAATACCAATAATCAAGCTTGCACTGGACTGCTGGTGATACAGTAACACTATGCTGGCAATACGATGTAAGTCTTCATGGCCTGAAAAATACTTTTTTCCTTAATTCTTTTTTCATCCCTCATGTATCTGGAAAGCAGCACTGGGGCTCTGGCAATCCTGGTTTCTTGGTTTTTTTTTCTTTTCAAGTATTTTGAAGTCTGGCCTGTACTGAACTGTTTCTTTTTGCTTCTCTCCAAGATGCTCCCCTTCAAGTTTTGATCCCATTTCTATTTTTTCATTAAATGTCAGGTCTTGGGTAGCTGTCTACCCTATAAAACTCACAGCACTGTAACACTACAAAAAAGGTAAAGACACTTCTGAAATTCAGAAGGAAAAAAGTGAGGAAATTATTGCAGTGCATTCGATTTCAATGAAATGCTCTTGGGACCAAAGATCTCAGCGAAGGACTGGTAAACTTCCCCAAGTTTTCTGTTCTCCAAGAAGTCCCTTTAGCAACATACATACATCTTTTTCTAGGCTAGAATATAAAAAAATGAACGCATTTTGATCTATGTTAGTAATACTATAGTAAAAGGCTCAGAAAATGCCTAATCTAGGGTTTGGTGCACTTGGGAACAAAATCAATACTGCAACAGAACCATGTTGAAACGTTTTTGATATTCAACAATTACACAGCAACTCTGTTAAGTCAGTCTCGACTTTCAAAGGCTGAGTATAGAGTATTTCAATACAGAATTTGAGTAAACAAATTATACAACAGAATATAGACTATATCAAAAAATACACAACAGTGTATGGAAATTCAGTGAATTGACTTCAGACCACAGCTACCTCTGAAGATGCAGCTGCTTTTCTTATACAATTGTAGTTACATTATCTTGGTTTTCACTGACTAGACACTGACAGACATCATCGCTGTGGGCTATCAACACTAATCTTTGCAATTACTGTACAGTAAATGTTTACACTAGCTGATATTTTCAGCATCCAAGTATATACAAGACATTTATTTCTCACTCTCTACAGCACAATAAATTGGTACATATTCTGCACTTCCCTATGTCAGAGTTTTTCTTTTATTTGGTTTTCCTCATTAGATATTACTTTCATATAGCTTTGTTTTGCATAGCACAGCACCAGAGTTTCAACAAAAAATATCTCGGGACTTGCATGCACAGACACCAGTGCCCAATAACCAGCGAAGGCAGCATCTCCTTCCTTCTGCTACTGTTTTTGTTCTACCATTAAAAATGCCATGCATAATTCAACAGTAGGTTGTATGGGCTTGACTGTACAATTCTACATGGAAGGCACTATGTTGAATCTTTTGGTATTTTCTCTGTATTATTTTAAACAGAGCAGTATATTTCTCATCGCTTTGAAAAAAAAATCTGTATGAAAAAAAGAGGGAAGCAATGTAACAGTAGAACACAAGTCCTTCTTGGCTGTACACAAAGGTAGGCTTATAATTTAGTATGATTCAGGATATATCTGCACCTTCATTCCCCCCAAAAATAAGTGTTCCAAATTTAACTGTGGTACATAAAACATTTCAGAATACAGTGAAAGGCCATACGTGTCTAACTCCTAACATAACCCATGGGGCTGTAGACTGCTGTTTTTTCGCAGCACAAACAGATTAAAATGGAAGAATAAAGATACCTTTCTACTCTATATCCAATTAACATATTAAACAATAGCTTCTGCTATTTTTTTCCAGTGTAAGGTTTCTGGCATTTGCAACTCCTCTTCCAAACAAAAGCAGCCACTGCCCAGCAATAATGTAATCCCAAGAGAAGATTAAAAATGCAAAACCACTAAAAGCTACTGAAGAAATTACAACTATGAGAATTGCTGAGTTTGCAAATTCAAACACAGAATTAATGAAGGCCAAAAAAGATCTTTTAGCTAGAACATTATCATATATTAAAACAAAAGGTCTTGCAGCTGCTACGGTTTTGGCTTTTGATATCCCTAGCTTTCTGGGGCTTTCTGTTAACTGTACTCTAAAATTTGGAAAAACAGGTTCAAACCAGTTCCTCTGCTAAATCTCTAAAGTAGTAGAATTTTACATATTACTTATATTTCTATATAATGTTAATATTGTTACTATTATAGGCTATTATAATTTCTCTATGTTTAAACTGACATTTAGAATGCCTTTCTGCATTGTCTGCCCTCCCTTCCTGAAAGTCAGTAACAATTAGCAAGCACCACCTGCCCCGTAGGACATATCCTGAGGCAGGGTAACTTTTCATTTCTTCTTCTGAAGTCTTGGTAACGTAAAGTGACTCTACTCAGTCAGAACTGTGCAGGAAAAAGTGAAATACCAGCGTAAACTCCCCCCTGCTCCTGCTGTTCAAGGAAGTGCTAAGTATGAACCCAGAGCACAGGTGTCAGGTGTATTTGAACAGCATTTGGAAGTGCTTACTGAGCAGTGGATGAGATGCAGAATGGAGTGCAACCAAGCTTGTAGATGAGCACAAGCCCTCTAAGTCAGATAAAGAAAAAACTGGAAAAAATGAGTGAGGGAGCCTGAAACTCAGTGACACTTGATCACAGTAACACAAGCATGCCTGAATACCAGTTTTGAGCTTTTGGTACTGTGATGGTTCCCTCCCAGAAAAAGAACACCAACTCTCTGCATGCAATGGGCCAGAAAAGGGTAGTAAGAAAGAGCTGAATTTCTTTGGACTTCAGCAGTGTAGCCAAGACAGGGAGAACTTCATGGCTATTTCAATGCATGGAAGAACCTACCTTTGGAAAACTGTCCAAACCAGTAATCTAGTTGTGCATTTCCTGAATAGGTAGAGACATAATCTAATTAATCTACATAATTGAGTTTGAAGACAGTCATTGATTTCAAACACCAATACCTAAACAAATGGGAACATAAATCTCTAAATTCAGCCTGCACAAACAGAATATACTTTCTTTAAGGAAAAAAAAGGCAAAAGAACTTCACAGCACTTGCAAACTGCTTATTTGCTGCACAATGGGTAAGCTGCATTATAATTTAAGTGATGTCACTACTAAACAGATAAGAGGATTACGTCACACGCAAACACATACTTTTAAAAATCTCATCTCACAAACCTGCCATTATTTACTTTTGTGGATTTATTTACATGTAGCTTTTGGAGAACTAAGCGAAACCTGGACTGCTTTGCTGCTACTGAATGGCTAGTAGGTTTAACAACTGTAGCAAAGTAAATGGAAACCCTTTTTTCTCTGCTGTTGTCTCACTCTGTTACCTGTTCTTCCTCAGTTTCCTCATTTGTAAAACAGAGACAGCACTTTCGTACTTTATAGGTGTAAGTCGAAGTTTAAAAAATGTGCTTTTGAATCAGCAGTTAAATTATATTTTTATAAATAATTTTTCTGTAACCTTGATAGCTCTGCAGCTCTAACCCACATTTTTATTATGTGACTGTGTTTCTGTTTCATGTTCCATAGGGTCCTTTCACTTTAATAAATGGGACTCCAGGATACACTGTCTACTCTGCAGTGTGAAGCGACTATAAATCAGAGGGAACAATCAACAGCGATACCATTCCACTGGTCTTCATTATGTTTCAAAATTATCATGCCACAGACGTGGAAAGAAGTGTTCATTTCATAAATCTATGTGCGGATCTTTTTTTAAGATGTTGTGGGAGCCAGAAATGTTCTTTAAATGAAACTGGGTCTGTAGGAATTAGACTGAAATTTACAGAGAGATCCTCATGCCATAAAAGATGACAAAGGTGACAAGTCTACTAGACACTGTTTTGTTAGATCTGTTCTGTACTGCCACCTAATTCTAGTGGCATTTCTCAAAAGATGACTCAAACAGCCCACAGCCCACAATATGGTTTTATATTTGAAAGTATTCCCGCAAATTGCAAGAGAAAAAGTGTTTGCATCAATACTAAGAAAAATACATATTTTGTGACAAATATTCAAGAGAAATCCAGGTTTGATAATAATCCAAATGAAAGCCTGACTTGCTGTTAACATTAAAAAGAGTAACAAAAGGCTATTTGTACATAGCAACTAATGAAAACAAGACTGAAAGAAATTAAAAATAAATCCCTCAAGATATAAACCACCTTTTGCTACTATCTAACTTAATAAAAGTAAAAGCCTGAGAAAATAGCTAGTTCTTATTCTGTGGCACAGGAACCCAAAGATGCCTGTAATACTAAAAACCAGCCAGGTGCATACTCTATATGAGAGTTCCCTATAGTCAGAATTAGGAGAAAGAAAAAAGGAAAAAAAGACAAAAAAGGAGAAGAAAAAAGAAAAAAAAAAGAGTAAAAAAGGAGAAAGAGAGAGAACAAGAGAGGGGGAAAAAAAAAAAAAGGATGTACAAAACTGACTCCTACTGCAATAAGCAACTGAATTCTCTAGGCCAGGGCATTTAGTGAAGTATACAATGGATAGCATCCAAGAGCAACTATCATTTGAAAGATCAATATCCTTACTTCAAAGCCACAAAACACAATTAAGGATATCACAGTAATAATTCAAAATCTGAAGTATTTTCAGGGCATACTCAGGGAAGCTGCCATCTGACTCTGCTGACAAATCCAGGCAAAATGCAAAAACTGTGAAGTTATTACATATCAGTACAAAACCTTTTGCACAGTGTCAAAGAGAAGGCCATTCAACAAAAAAGAAAGAAAAGAAAGGATGCACTTTGCTTATTCATTTTTTGTAAGGTTATGTTAAAAAAAATACTTTTTTTATTCCAAAGACAGAAAAAGATATCATTACTTTTCTACTACTATAGGCTTATTTGGCTTTTTACACAGTCATGCTTCAACGAGCCAAGAAATTCAGAGTATAAGCATTCATTAAGTGCAGTAGAAAAATAATCACTCACTTTTCTGCCAGACACCTTTTACGAAAGCCTGGTACTACAGCTGAGGCAGAGATACACTCCTTATGTACACATAGTAACTTCACCAACATAACTTCATAACTGGGGGTATTTCAGCGCTTGCAGCACATGCAAATGCTTAATAAAACAAACTATTTCAAAACATTTTCAAACTTGAGATTCTTACAAGCCTAAATGTTTGAAATAAACTGATGGTGTTTTAAACACAGCTTGACATGCAACAGTTCAAGTTGTGGAGGGTATACAACAGCTAGTCAAAAGTTACAGAAATTAAGTCCTGAAAATTCATATTTGGTCATTTAAAATTCAGCACACACAGCCGTTAGGTATGGTCAGTGACCTGGGCTGAAATCTCTAGTGCATTTTTTGACATTTACAGCAGTATCTCAGATTTCTGCGCACCTTTTCATAATAACTTCAATGTGGAAATGCATTTAACTGTTCTGGAAATGCCAGGTACTCGTTTTGTCCTTTTTCAATTGTGGTTCTTGCTAATTCAAGGAGGCCAGGAAGTGTTAAGCACATAATTAAAATAAAATCTTGTCAACTGAAGCTAAGAACTACTGAAATACCAAATCTGAGCCAGATGCCAGAGTCAGAGTCGTTCTCATTGACATTTCTCCTGTCACATAACACCACAGTTAGTTTTAAACCTGCACAGTGTTAGCTTGAGGTCTATTTATATAGTGACAGAAAAATAATGTGACAGCCCTAAGGAAAGCAATGAAGGCCTGAAACTATGCAAAATTATTCTATATGCAGTGTGACCTTTTCTTTACCAAAATGCATAAAACCTTCCTTAATAAGTTAATTTTTTTGTAAGACTGCTGGTGGCTGAAGGTAAAGAGAGGAAAAAGTGAGGGCCACTGTCAAATCCCTTTTTCCTGCCTCTTAAAAATCAACAAATACCATGCCCACCCAATAACAAAAGGAAGACTTTGGCAGAACAACCAGTTCATATGCTGACTGACACTGAAATTAACTACCATTAGGACCATGGACAGGAAGTGAGGGAAAGGAAAAATTAGAGTAGAGGAAAATTATCCAAGAACTTGAACAGAGAAACTTATCTGCACATAAAGCATCTGAAAAACAAGAGTTAGACAGATTTAACCATTTGTTAAGAAACAGATCATTAAAATTCATGCAAATCTGGACTTTGTAAGGCTATGGCAGTATCAATATACACCTTCTATACAAAAGTTTATTTCAGAAAACTTACTGCAACTGATGAGAACTGAAGGTTCTGGATAGTAAAAGGCAACTAAGAAGTATACGTGGGGCAGGAAAGAAAAAAAAATAGAAAAACTAAATCATAGAACATTCCCCCTCCCCCCAAACTACAACAGCTTTTTTTTTTTTAATTGATGATAGATAATACTTCATAAAAAGAAAACATACGTGAAGGAGGAAAAAAAATAAGTCTGTAAGTCCTGAAGCTTCCATCACTGTCTCTGGGCATAAATATTTAACACATTTTTGTTGATTCTAAGACTAAGAATTACCTCCAGCTAGGTAATTCGTCTACTAGGGGACGAGATGCTAATCAGTAAGGCAGCCACTGGGGTAGATGACTGTTCGTAATTGAAGGTGGCAGGAGATGGAAAGTCACTACAACCTGGTTGGGTATATAAGACACTTGGGAATGCAAATTCAACTGTCTCAGAAAATCAAAACAGTAACAAAACCAGGCAGAAATACTTGCATATTGTTGAACTGAACTCCTGCAAAATTCAATCCAAGGAACTTTTCTCTTATATCACCCCCTGTGTGTTAAAAAAGGAAATGGCTGCTTAAAAACAAGTACAAAAATCCCCTCACTTTCTTTGACACAGAATATGAATCTTACCACATAAGATTTCTATGGTTCTATTCAGTTATCGGAACATGAATGGAATTTGTGAATTACTTAAATGACTTGCTGCAATTCTGTCCAATCTGTGCACCCTATGGACTCCAGTACTATAGCAAAATCTTTGACATGAGACTGTTCTCAAAAGCTTTAGAGAGAAGAGAGGGGAGTGGAATGCACCCCGAGAATGCTTCCCGAGTACTCCATTCTTTCCACGCCTTCATAGGGATTACCATAATGATCCCATACATTGACTACTGGTGAATTACCACAGTTCCATTCAGAACAGCACATAGCTGTACATTATTGCATGGCACTGCATATTATTAATCTTTGAGGAACACAGCTGCAATAAGAACAGTGCATGCTTTATAGAACTTGCTGCATAATAAATAAATATTGCACAGAAAAAGACACCCTCAAATTAAAATCAAAAAGACATTTGAAGTTTGGGTATTCTTCACTACTGGAAAGAACCTTCCATGCTAAGGCCATTATCTATCAGAAAAGCTCCATCTGTGTACAATTATTTCCAATAAATGATATTAAGCTTCATTAAAGAGGTAGTGGGGATGTGAGTGAAGACAGAGAGCTCAAGCTGTAAATAAATCTCTTCACTGTATTTTACTTAAAATCACCCCAGCAGGAGGTCATAAAGAAATTTTTTTATAGGTAATATTTTCAAATGCTCTGCAGGCTGTGCTGCCTATTATCCATCACCTTCAGTGTATGTTCATAATCTTGCAACAATTCAGGATGAAGGACACTATTCAATTTCTTTCCCATCCCAGTAATCACCTTCCCACTTACACCCAAGTCCTTCTTAGCCACAACAGAAACACTTTGTTGTAACACAACTGAATTTCTAACTGAACAATCTTTCAGAAAACCTGACCCACAGGCACTGGAGAAGCACCCTGTAACACCAAAAAGTGTATCCTGGCTAATAAGCCAGCAGAGGTGCTGAAGCCCCCTGCCCTGTGGAGGCCCAAATGTGTTGCTGAAGCATGAGGTTTTGCTGAATTTTCTAGGATGGTTGTTTTAAAGCCTTGTTTTTACAGCAAACTACAGGATTCCCCAGGAGAAGCACTGGACCGAAGGAAGAGATGATGGGCGGTCAGCAGCAACTGTGTATGCGAAGGAGAGACAAAAGTTACATGGCAAATTTACTCTTATTACACGAGCTGGTATCGGAACAGTCACGTTTGAACCTTGCTATATTTCTGACAATATTCTCACATGCAGATAGAAAACAGTAACAAAAATATTATTTTCCTTAGTCTCATAAACTGCCACAATCCCCAAAATGTCAATCTGTGATTTGTCCACAGCCAATCTGCAAGAGTAAAAAAAACACATGCAAATCTACATACCTGAAAAGAGAATAAATACTTCAGCAACTTGGCAAAACTATTTATGCAGAAAGTTAATGCAAGTATAGTATATCAAAGATTTTTCAGTCCTAGTGCTTTGTCAGCTTTGTTACTTCCAGCAGTTGCCTCAATGTTGAGGAACTGGAGTAGTTCTCTCAAATTTCCTAACAAAATAAAAGCCTGTTTTTCTTGCGATGTGTATTTATCAGCCATGCTGTAAAGTAAACTCAGCTCAAGAGGGACTGTCTCCATAGAGCACCTTCTAAACTAAAGCCACAGCTGGAGGAAAATCAAACTATAAATTACACATTTAAGCTTAAGTTATAGAATGCAAATTTTAAAACTCAGTATATTAGATACTGAATGAATTTACACACTGGTTTAGAATAATCTAAATTACAACTTTATCTCACTGTGTTTTGCTAATCTTTGGTATCTCATCTTACCTTCAGGGAGAATTTTTGCCTGACAGTTCAATAAAGAAGAAAGATGGGTCATGAAAGGAGAGACGGACTGCCACATGAAACTCAAGTTTTATGCAAACAACCTAACAGCAGTGTGGACAAATACACATTACAGCCAGTACTTTGTGCAACTGCAACAGTTTAAAACCATAAGGTTTTAAAGTCAAATTTCACAAGATACTGGTGTTTATCCTACAATATATGTATTTATTTACTGGCAATGTATGAAGGAGTTTCTCAATATGAGAGTGCCTCAAATCATAATGAAATTGTATACTGCAGTTCAAACAGCTATAAGGTCAGTTAGAAAATCCCATAACCCCTTTTAGTTTGTTCTTTGGTTAAAGCCATGAATGTCTAAGTTGTGAGTAACATCCAACCCTTCCCCTTGCCCCAGAAGACAGGTCATTGACTTCCAAAGGGAGTCAGTGAAACATAAGCCTGAGGACAAGGTAAAATGTTCATGTCTCCTTTGCTGTCACTCAGGAGTCATGCACTTACATTCCTCTTTGCTCGGTGAAGTTACATTCAGTTCTGTCAAAAGTTGCTGGTTGGAGTTAGCGGCCTGCATGGTTAGAGAGGTATTGCTGTTGTCACTGTTTGTTTCTCCAGAGAACAAATCTGACTGGCTGTTGCTTGTGCTGGGAGTAGAGTCATCGTCTGGCTGTTTCTTCTGGAAATCTGTCAAAACCAAGATTTCATACATCATCCCACTTGCTCAATCTCACCATCCAACTTTACTGCAAAAAAACAGCCCAGCATAACAAAAATAATCACAAAACACTACCAGAGGTATCATCATTGTGACCATTCGTATATCTCATACAACACAAAAAGCAGTCTTCAAGTTTAAGCAGTCTTCAAATTTAAAATAGCTTTAAAAACTTATCTGTTCTTGAAGAACAATACATGTTTTCAGAACTACACAGAGGTCTTGTTTCCCCAGCCATTCAAGAACATCCAAAGCTTGCCACTGCATACATCAGTATACAGCACATGGAATCATTTTAAAAACAGTTCACACAAAACACATACATAAAGGAGCAAACATCCAATGAGGAAAGAACTAAGGCATGAAATACGTGTGTAAGGAAATGTTACGCTTCTCTTAACACAATCCTTCTCCTTGCTGTTATATAAAACAACACCAGTAACAGTTTTGGCACAGCAGACAGCTATGGTTCTGGGTTGGCATGGGGGAGCTGGTGAGGGGTTTGCCTTTGTATCCCATGTTTGGTGGGTGTTTGGTGGTGGTGTTCTCCCTTCTTCTTTTTGTCACTTACCCCAACACTGGCATTCAAAGCTGCTTATTGATCTATGACCATGGAATTAAACATGGGAAGTAAATCACTACAATACATTAGAACTATTTACAAATGATCTGATTTCAAAGTTTTTTTTTTCCAGCAAGTGCCAACTCGCACTAGGTCTCTAAACTGCACCAGTAGTCCAAACTCCACAGCCCTGACAGCTGCCCTCCTCAGGCTTATCTTGCCTCCAAAGCAGACTCAGGTTTGAGGGAACATACTCTTTAAATGCAAATCATCCCTTGAGGGCTTTTTTCCCAAACAAACAGTCCTGATACCTGATTGCTACAGCGTTAGTCTCAGTTCCTATCAGCTACACTACTGATTTCAGTCTGGCACAGCTCTGTCGCTGGATGCCCCCCAGGAACACCCATCCCAGCCAAGTGGATTTTGGTCTGCTTAACGTCCAGTTACTCTCACAATGCAAAGGCACCTCTTCCTTTTAAAATGACAGATGAAGATGAAAGACATCATCACCTCTTCGTGTTCCTAAACACTTTTTTTTTACCCCTAAAAGTGGCATACAAAGTCAGAATTTAACCATTACACAAACACATACATAAATGAGTATTCGGTTGCTCATTATTATGTCATGACAGGGAGGAAAACAGAGGAATCCATAAATATTTACAGATAATGTCATGTTAGAAACATGGATGATCAATATGACTCACTGAGATTGGAAGCACTGTTCCTAAAAGTTGATTAAGGATTTAAGTTATTTGCCAGAGAAATAACACTTTTGCTGTGAAGAGTCAGCAGTCACCAGAAGCTTGAAGAGGAACAACCTCAAAGCCAGGAGGAGAAGGAAGGTGGCAGCAACAGGAAATAATCCAGCTCCACAACACAGTGCTGAAGAGCTGGTACGATGCTTTTTGTCACGGGTGAGTTACCGGACACAGGAAGATGTCCTACTCAGGACTCACTAGTTATCAACAAAGTTTCAACCAAGCTGGGCTCCTGGATATTACTACTACGTTTGTGCAACCAAGAAAGCTTCAAGCACTTGGGATTCTGCACCAGCCACAGCGATTATAACTGGAGCCACCATCCCATTAGATATCCGCCACCCAATTTTTCATGCCCATACCAAGGCCACAGTCCTGACAGAAGGGCAGCTCACAACTGGAGGCATTTTGGGAACCATCAGTCTCTAGCAGTCTATAAACAACCAGTACAGAATACAAATTACAATTGTGCAGGTTGCTTGCTAATAAAAGGTGGCTAAAAAGATTTTAAGTGGTTTTACATAAGATTGCATTCAAGGCAGTGCACAGAACAGCTGTGCTGTGCGCACATGTCGCAAGTTGAAGCAACTCCACCTTCAAGGAGCAGAGCAAATATAATGGTTACGCTCAATATTATACACTGTGAGCAATCTACAGAATGCATTAGAAAGAAAGTGGAGAGTTACAGAACAGCAACGGATACTATGAAATCCATTAAAAATCAGCACAGTTCAAAATTCTCAGCCAGCTGGGATAGCTGCAAATACTTTACTCAAGCTGCACTTCCTCACTCCAGTCTCTGTATATGCCAAAGGGCATTTACAGGGAAATGTAAAACATTTTTACAAAGTGGCCTATATAATTAAAGTCCTGACAGTCCTTTCACAACACTATGGTAAGTACCAGTACTACACTGTTGTGTCCCAAAGCTGCAAGTTTAAGAGCACGTTGACCAAAGAGGGCTGGGTTTTGGTTTTCTTGTGAAAAACTATTCACTTTTGCAACCTAAATAAATTGATAAATTCTCCAACTTCAAAGGCAGCATGCCAGAAACGGTCATTCAGCAACAGCATTTCCCAACATGATTACTAGTGAAACACTTCAGAGCCATCACATAGCAGCAACATCCACCAAGGCAGTTAAATGCCATTTGCATTCATGAATCCAGGACCTTGTGGTCAGAACTTGCTTTTACTTAGACTATAAATCAATTAACTTTCACAAAAGTCATAGTCTGCTCAGTTGTGTGGAACCTGAGAACATCCCCCGAATCTCACTTTTTAACCACTTTTTCACTGCAGACTTAAGTACTTGAGGGAAGTGTTTAGACTGCTTACGTCAAGCACCAGAGACATATTAACTATAACCGGTTATACTACTTACTTACACTACAGCAAATTACTAACAGTTGCCTCCATAATGTGGTGTCAACAGCAATACAGGACCTATATATATAAACATAGTTTTTATAACAAACTTGACCTAAATTATCAACAGATTTCTAAAACACTGCTTCATAATTCATGGTCCAGTATTCACCTAGGACAAAAACAGATCCAATGATATACTGGATCAACTGTATTATATTTCCTCTGCATATTGGTGGATGGCATTTGGCTTTTGCTAATGAGGACTCTCGTTAACACAAATAACTTGCAGATCCATTTGATCTCCCCCCCCACCCCAGCACAATAAAAGCTGGCAACAATTACAGGAGAGCCAGGGCTTAAGAAACCCAGTTATGCTTTAACTCTTAATAAAGCAAAACAAAAACACACACACACACAATACAGACAAGACCTTGGCAAGTTCTGAAGGGGTGGCTTTATTCTGATTAAAATCAGAATGTAATTCTGGTGACAGAACAATGACCTCTCCTAATAGCCTCAATGAGAAAAAAAACAGAACAAGAGTTGGCAAGGTATTTATCACCATTTCCAGAAGTTTCGATTTATCAAGAAATGCATGCAAAACACTTCTTTTAATTATTATTATTTTTATTAAGACTTTCACTATGCTGGTAAAATTTGTGCCAAAATGTACAATAGCTAACTGTAAACCCACCAAATCCATGTTTGTCTTCTCTAGCTAATGAAACTCAGCATTGTAACTTTTTATAGGAACTTCAACTGGTACCCAGGTTTACTGGAAACAAACTTTCTCCATTTGTTAGGAAGTATGTTTTCTTTTTCTTCTCAACACCCTCTCCTTTTCCTCACTGCCTTCAGTTTTGGTGTTTTTTTTGCGGTTGTGGTGGTTGTTTTCATTTTTGATATTCTGGTGTTAGTTACAAGGCAAAACCAGCACCAAAATTAGATGTGCAAATTTCCTGCATGGGGGAATAACAGAAGGAAAGATCTGTCAATAAAATGCAGGAAGAACATACAATAAACTATTACTTTATAGTAGAGAAGCTGCCAGTCTTTTGTTTTGTTGAGTTTTGGAGCTGCGCCCAGCATCTCAACCAGGTGAGCAGGAGCAGAAAATCTCAAGCATGGCTGTCATGCACTACATGCTAATACGAAGTGTGTTGCTTTTCTTTCGTTGCTTAGGATTTCTTTGTAAACTAAACAATGACAATGTGAATGTATAGACACGATAGAAAATTTCATATTCTAGGTACACAATGAATTAAAGGAGTTTACACTAAAAGGCAGGCAAGAAGCCTGATTTGTTTCCAGACTTCCAAAGCCAAGTTCTTTTGCAAGGCAATCTTCTGTTCATTTTTATTCATAAAATAACATTATAATGAAAGCCACTGTGTTTACAGCTTCTGATTCTAACCCATAAAACCAGAGGTGCTACATGAAATCATGTCTTCTGCACAGGACTAGAACTAGCATATTTCTCTGGTTATTCTTACCAGGTTATAGGAAGCAATCAGAAAGAGCCCATCTACCCAATATGATGGATTTCACCCATTACCTCAAGATCAAACTAAGAAATATTTAAAACATCCAACCTCCTCCACCACCTAAAATACTTCAAATTATGTGATACAAAAAAACAACAAACAAAAAAAACCCTAAGGAAATACTGAGTTCTCGACTTTTTCTTAACTGTAAGGGGTATGTAACTAAAGGCAAGGAACAACCCTTCAGCTTCTGGTAACTTCAGTGACTACAGTCACTTGAAACTTGAGGTAAAAGTGAATATGAGCAATATCACCGTGTCATAAAGCATTTTACTCTGACAATGACAGGCATGGCAGAATATTACAATGAAATGACTCAACAGTAAGCCAGAGCTTTTTCTCATTTGCGTTCATGCTACACCATCAGAAATTATAAAATTTATGAAACTCCCGAAGGGTCTTAACACAAGCTCTCCTTTTGGCTTATTTTAAGGCTCAAGGTTATACATACTTCCTATTCTCTGGTATACAACGTATGTTTTCATTATTAAGAAATGGGTTCATTCAAATAAATTATGGATGTTCCAAGATGCATCAGAGTTAACGGCATACTAAGGGGGGGGGGGGACTAGAGTCTTTAAAGTAATTATTTGGGTTGAAAAGCAATATTACACCACTCCTTTATTCTTCAATCCTATAGCTCCCATAACTCAGCATTGTGAACTAGCAAAAAAGTTATTTGGAGAGTGTTTGCTTCTTGCATGCATTGAATGTGTAATATGCACATTTTCT